TTCTGTGTCTCCATTTGCATCTTGAATACACCACTCATCACTTTATATTCGCGCTGATTCTTGTTTTATACGTTTAAAGGATCTTCGGGTTTTATCCTTCTGCCAGCTGCTCTTATTTTGGAGGCGCTCCCTTGATTTGTATTTTTTATTGAATAATAAAAACGCATAAATACAGTAGAAGTACACATAAAAAATATAAAAAAAACATAATAATGGGGCAGCACAGCGGCTGAATGGTTAGCACTTCCCCCTGGCAGTACTCGGGTCGTTGGTTCGAATCCCAACCACAGCACCACCTGCCTGGAGTTTGCATGTTCTCCCTGTGTCTGCGTGGGTTTCCTCCGGGTACTCCGGTTTCTTCCTACACTCCAAAGACATGCTGGGAGGTGAATTGGCTCCTGTCTAAATTGTCCCTATATGTGTATGTATGATGTGAGTTAGGGACCTTAGATGGTACGCTCCTCGGGGGCGGGGCCTGATGTGAATGTACAATATATATATGTACAGCGCGGAGTACATTGATGGCGATATATAATAAGTACCTGAAATAAATAAATAATGAAAACACAAATAAATAGAAGTACACCTAAAAAACCCCACAATCATAAACAGAAATATATAAAAAAAAACAAAGATAATAATAAACATGACCCCCCCCCCCCCCCCCCATACGGCCCCCCCCCCCCCCCCCCCCCCCCCCCCGGGTGAGCCTGCAGTCTATCGCTCCCTCTGCAGTCATACAGAGACCAGGTCCAGTTATGGGTGGAATCCGCTCCTGAAACCACCAGCAGGGTTTGGGATTACCAGCAAACACGAATGTCTAGACAAACCCCATACAAACACAGCAGACATACAAACTCCATGTATATACATTGTAACCCTTTGGGGAGACTGTTGGAGGTTGGGATGCCAACTCATCCCTGTAAATCCCGAAGAAATATTCATTAGGCTGCTGAGGGTAATCTATTTCAGATACAGCGGGTGGGGGTGGGGGGGTGTCATTAATACGTGTTCAGGGTGAGGGACCCCTGTCATTAATACGTGTTCAGGGTGAGGGACCCGTGTCATTAATACGTGTTCAGGGTGAGGGACCCGTGTCATTAATACGTGTTCAGGGTGAGGGACCCGTGTCATTAATACGTGTTCAGGGTGAGGGACCCCTGTCATTAATACGTGTTCAGGGTGAGGGACCCGTGTCATTAATACGTGTTCAGGGTGAGGGACCCGTGTCATTAATACGTGTTCAGGTGTGAGGGACCCGTGTCATTAATACGTGTTCAGGGTGAGGGACCCGTGTCATTATCACCTCCCCCAGCCCCGGGACCCGTGTCATTAATACGTGTTCAGGGTGAGGGACCCGTGTCATTAATACGTGTTCAGGGTGAGGGACCCGTGTCATTAATACGTGTTCAGGGTGAGGGACCCGTGTCATTATCACCTCCCCCAGCCCGGGACCCGTGTCATTAATACGTGTTCAGGGTGAGGGACCCGTGTCATTAATACGTGTTCAGGGTGAGGGACCCGTGTCATTAATACGTGTTCAGGGTGAGGGACCCGTGTCATTAATACGTGTTCAGGGTGAGGGACCCCTGTCATTAATACGTGTTCAGGGTGAGGGACCCCCGTGTCATTAATACGTGTTCAGGGTGAGGGACCCGTGTCATTAATACGTGTTCAGGGTGAGGGACCCGTGTCATTAATACGTGTTCAGGGTGAGGGACCCCGTGTCATTAATACGTGTTCAGGGTGAGGGACCCGTGTCATTAATACGTGTTCAGGGTGAGGGACTCGTGTCATTAATACGTGTTCAGGGGTGAGGTGGATCCTCTGGACATGCCGCCGTTTACTAATTGGGTAAGACGTGGGTTGGTATCCTGATCCGGGTAACAATGTAAACACCCCATTCCGGGTGAGCCCGGCCATCATGCACTGTGCAGGCCGGAGGGAGGAGCTCCCGATTCTTTTTTCTTGTAGAATATTTATCATCATAATTTGTAATGTAATTGTATAATAATAATTGTTGTCCATTTCATTCATAAAGATCGATCAGTCATCAATAACGATCGGCGTGTATCAAATATCCGCATAACAATGTAACATTTCTCCTGAACGATTTGTTATTATCGTACATTCGTGGCGTATTATCGTACATTCGTGGCGTATTATCGTACATTCGTGGCGTATTATCGTACATTCGCGGCGTATTATCGTACATTCGCGGCGTATTATCGTACATTCGCGGTGTATTATCGTACATTCGCGGCGTATTATCGTACATTCACTGCGTATTATCGTACATTCACTGCGTATTATCGTACATTCGTGGCGTATTATCGTACATTCGCGGCGTATTATCGTACATTCGCGGCGTATTATCGTACATTCGCTGCGTATTATCGTACATTCGTGGCGTATTATCGTACATTCGCGGCGTATTATCGTACATTCGCTGTGTATTATCGTACATTCGCGGCGTATTATCGTACATTCGTGGAGTATTATCGTACATTCGTGGCGTATTATCGTACATTCGCGGCGTATTATCGTACATTTGCGGCGTATTATCGTACATTTGCGGCGTATTATCGTACATTCGCGGCGTATTATCGTACATTCGTGGCGTATTATCGTACATTCGCGGCGTATTATCGTACATTCGTGGCGTATTATCGTACATTCGCGGAGTATTATTGTACATTCGCGGCGTATTATTGTACATTCGTGGCGTATTATCGTACATTCGCGGCGTATTATCGTACATTCGTGGCGTATTATCGTACATTCGTGGCGTATTATTGTACATTCGTGGCGTATTATCGTACATTCGTGGCGTATTATTGTACATTCGTGGCGTATTATTGTACATTCGCGGCGTACTTCTCACCGGACAGTTCAGAAATAAAAATCATATAAAAAATATCACCAGCGATAACGACGTGAACTGCAGGAAAACAAAACGACTTCTGACTGCACAGAGAGACTGCGGCACATTTCACATAAAGTTCCTGAACCCCCAACATGACATCCATCTGTAGAGGCAGCAAAGCATGCTGGGTATACTCACTGTGGGACCTAAGGGGTTAATCCTCTACATTGTGTAAAAAGGCTGTTTGATCCTGTCTACTCTGATTCTACCCTTCTTCTACTGTCCCCAATCCATGTGCTGATAGCATTGATCCTTGGGGGCAAGCTGCACATGCTCAGTTTGGTGTGTATTGCTAGAGAAGTTTTTTTTTCTTTGGAAAGGTGCATGTGATCAGCACTGTCCAGACAGAGAGTCAGGGGTCATGTAGCCTCATAGGACAATGAATGAAAAACTCCTCCTACAAACTTTAAAACCAGTGCTCTGCTGGACACTGAAAGAAGTCACAAGACTGCTATATACTGCTGATGAGAAAAGGGAAATTTAGCAGTTTTATATTTACTAAAAATAATTGCATTTCCAAGTTCTGTGTACTGTGGGAGAGCGGATACAGTGAATGCGGGGTCCGGGGAGAGCGGATATAGTGAATGCGGGGTCCGGGGAGAGCGGATATAGTGAATGCTGTGGGTCCGGGTGAGAGAGCGGATATAGTGAATGCGGGGTCCGGGGAGAGTGGATATAGTGAATGCTGGGGGTCCGGGAGAGCGGATATAGTGAATGCGGGGTCCGGGGAGAGAGGGATGTAGTGGATGCGGGGTCCGGGGAGAGCGGATGTAGTGGATGCGGGGTCCGAGGGGAGAGCGGATATAGTGAAATGCGGGGTCCGGGGAGAGCGGATATAGTGAATGCGGGGTCCGGTGGAGAGAGGATGTAAGTGGATGCGGGGTACCGGGGAGAGCGGATATAGTGAATGCGGGGTCCGGGGAGAGCGGATATAGTGAAATGCGGGGTCCGGGGGAGAGCGGATATATGGGAATGCGGGGTCCGGGGAGAGCGCATATAGTGAATGCGGGTCTGGGGAGAGCGGATATAGTGAATGCGGGGTCCGGGGAGAGCGGATATAGGGAATGCGGGGTCCGGGGAGAGCGGATACAGGGAATGCGGGGTTCTGGGGAGAGCGGATACAGTGAATGCGGGGTCCGGGGAGTGTTTGCGGGGTCCGGGGAGACATATAGTGAATGCGGGTCCGGGGAGAGCGGATATATAGTGAATGCGGGGTCCGGGGAGAGCGGATATAGTGAATGCGGGGTCCGGGGAGAGCGGATATAGGGACAATGCGGGGTTTCCGGGGAGAGCGGATACAGGGAATGCGGGTCTGGGGAGAGTGCCGGATACAGTGAATGCGGGGTCCGGGGAGAGCGGATACAGCGATAGCGGGGTCCGGGGAGAGCGGATATAGTGAATGGGGGGTCCGGGAGAGCGGATACAGTGAATGCGGGGTCCGGGGAGAGCGGGTATAGTGAATGCGGGTCCGGGGGAGAGCGGATATAGTGAATGCGGGGTCCGGGGAGAGCGGATATACTGAATGCGGGGTCCGGGGAGAGCGGATATAGTGAATGCGGGGTCCGGGGAGAGCGGATATAGTGAATGCGGGGGGTCCGGGGAGAGCGGATAATAGTGAATGCGGGGTCCGGGGTGAGCGGCGATATAGTGAATGCCGGGGTCCGGGGAGAGCGGATATAGTGAATGCGGGGTCCGGGGAGAGCGGATATTATAGTGAATGCGTGGGGGTCCAGGGCAGAGCGGATATAGTGAATGCGGGGTCCGGGGGAGAGGGGATATAGTGAATGCGGGGTCCGGGAGAGAGCGAATATAGTGGAATATGCGGGGTCTCCGGGGAGAGCGGATACAGTGAATGCGGGGTCCGGGGAGAGCGGGCTGATACAGTGAATGCGGGGGTCTCCGGGGAGAGGGGATACAGTGAATGCAGGGGTCCGGGGAGAGCGGATATAGTGAATGAGCGGGGTCAGGGGATGAGAGCGGATATAGTGAATGCGGGGTCCGGGAGAGCGGATACAGTGAATGCGGGGTCCGGGTGAGAGCGGATACAGTGATAGCGGGTCCGGGGGAAGAGCGGATATAGTGAATGCGGGGTCCGGGAGAGAGGATATAGTGAATGCGGGGTGTCCGGTGAGAGCGGATATAGTGAATGCGGGTCCCGGGGAGAGCGGATGTAGTGAAATGCGGGGTCCGGGTGAGAGTAGGATGTAGTGGATGCGGGGTCCGGGGAGAGCAGATATAGTGAATGCTGGGGTTCCGGGGGGAGCGGATATAGTGAATGCGGGGTCCGGGGGAGCGGATATAGTGAATGCGGGGTCCGGGGAGAGCGGATATAGTGAATGCGGGGTCCGGGTGGGATGCGGATATAGTGGAATGCGGGGGTCCGGGGAGAGCGGATATAGTCGAATGCGGGGTCCGGGGAGAGCGGTATTATAGGGAATGCGGGGTCTGGGGAGAGCGCATATCTAGTGAATGCGGGGTCAGGGGAGAGCGGATATAGGGAATTGCGGGGTCCGGGGAGAGTGGCATATAGGGAATGCGGTGTCCGGGGGGGGAGAGCGGATACTGGAGAATGCGGGGTCCGGGGAGAGAGGATACAGGGAATGCGGGGTCTGGGGAGAGCGGATACAAGTGAGATGCGGGGTCCGGGGAGAGCGGATACAGCAGAGAAATGCTGGGTCCGTGGAGAGCGGGATATAGTGAATGCGGGGTCCCGGGGAGAGCGGATACAGTGAATGCTGGGTCCGGGGAGAGAGGGTATAGTGAAAGCGGGGTACCGGGGAGAGCGGATATAGTGAAATGCGGGGTCCGGGGAGAGCGGATATACTGAATGGGGGGGGGGGGGGGGGGGCGGGGGGGGGGGTGGGGGGGGGGGGTCCGGGGAGAGTGAGAGCGGATATAGTGAATGTAGCGGGTCCGGGGAGAGCGGATATAGTGAATGCGGGGTCCGGGAGAGCGGATATATAGGGAATGCGGGTCTGGGGGGGGGGGGGGGGGGGGGGGGGGGGGGGGGGGGGTCCGGGGAGAGCGCATATAGTGAATGCGGGGTCCGGGGAGAGCGGATAAAGGGAATGCGGGGTCCGGGGAGAGGGATACAGGGTGGAATGCGGGGTCCGGGGAGAGCGGATATAGTGAAATGCGGGGTCCGGGGAGAGCGGAACTATAGGTGACATGCGGGGTCCGGGGGAGAGCGTGATACAGTGAATGCGGGGGTCCGGGGAGAGACGGGTTACAGGGAATGCGGGGGTCTCGGGGAGAGCGGTATCAGTGGTAATGCGGGGTTCCCGGGTGGGAGAGCGGATGGTACAGCGACATGCGGGGTACGGGGAGAGAGCGGGATATAGTGAATTGCGGTGGGTCCGGGGAGAGCGGATACAGTGAATGCGGGGTCCGGGGGAGAGCGTGGCTATAGTGAATTGGCGAGGGTCCGGGGAGAGCGGTATATATAGTGAATGCGGGGTCCAGGGAGAGCAGGGATATACATGAATTGCTCTGGGGTTCCGCGGGGAGTAGTTGGGTTTATAGTGCATGCGGGGTCCGGGTGAGGCGGATGGATATGTGAATGGCCAGGGGTCCGGGGGGAGAGCGGGGGTTATTGTGAATGGGGGTCCGGGGAGAGGGATATAGTGATATGCGGGGTCCCGGAGGGATGAGCGGATCATAGTGCATGCACTGGGTCCGGGGTGAGCGGATATCAGTGAATGCGGGGTCCGGGGAGAGTGGATATAGTGGAAATGCGGGGGTAAACCGGGCGAGAGCGGATTATAGTGAATGAGGGGTCCGGGGTGTAGCGGATACAGTGAAATGCGGGGTCCGGGGAGAGCAGGTTCACGTGAATGCGGGGATTTTTCTTCGGGGAGAGGGGATTACAGTTGAATGCGGGGTCCCGGGAGAGGCGGATAAATAGTGATATGCGGGTGTCCGGGGAGAGCGGGATAATTCGTGATATGCGGGGGTAACGGGAGGAGAGCGGATACAGTCGAATGCGGGGTCCGGGGAAGAAGTCGGAATACAGTGATTATGCGCGGGTATTCCGGGTGGAGAGCGGATGTAGGGAATGCGGGGTGACTACGGGCGAGAGACGGATATAGTGAATGCGGGGGTCCGGGAGAGAGCGGATATATCTTGAAGTGCGGGGTCCGGGTGAGGATGCTGGAATACATGTGAATGTTGCGCGGCGTCATATGGGGGGGACAGCGGGATACAGTGGAATGCGCGGGTACCAGGGGTTGAGAGGAATTACAGTTGAGTGCGGGGTCCGGGGTGACAGCGGATTATAGTTGGAATGCGGGGTCCCGGGTGTGAGAGGATGCATGTGATATGTCGGGGTCCGGGTGAGAGCGGGATACAAGTGAATGTGGGGTCCGGGGGAGAGCGGTTGGTACAGTGAAATTGTGCGGCGGATACGGGGAGAGCGGATACAGTTGAATGTGGGGTACGGGGGGACAGCGTGAATAACAGTGAAGTGCGGTGGGTCTCGGTGCAGAGTGGGATACAAGTGTAATTCGTGGGGTCCGGGGACAGGTGGGATACATGTGAACTGCGGGGATCCGGGGAGAGCAGTCTGACAGCCCGCAGTACTCGTGGTAACTGATTTGGGGCTGGTTTATCTGGGACTACGGGTCTCTGAAACTCACCTGAGCTATCCTGCCAGAGAAACTGCTCACTGTGAACTGCCATATGAACAAGCGGCTGAGGGCATTCACTTAGGCGTTGATGGATACAACTAGTCGCATATTAATGACCACTGGTTCTGAGGGCCAATTTTTGGTGCAGTTAAGTCGCTAGTCCCGTGGTTCCAGTGAAGTCGTCCCGAATTACAGGGCAGTCGGATGGGATTCGGAACTTGAGGTGCGCAGATTGTCGGATATGACCGCTGTAATTGCGGACAATTGGGTGCGACTTACAAATCGCATGTTAAGTCACATCCCCGGGGTCTAAATGAGTTTAATTGCACCTTAATCAGCCCCAGAACCTGTGTAATAATATGTGTTTGGATTTAAGGTTGGATGGGGTCTGGCGACTACAATTCCGGCCGCAATTGTAACGTTTCAGCTGTGGAGAGGAGGCCATTGCTGTGTATGGTTGTCTGTCTTGCAGTGACAACTTCCTCCGCACAGAGAATGGATCAGGTGGTTTTTAGAACCGCTGTATCTGCGGCTGATCCCTACTTATCTGTGTGTGCGGCTGAGAATGCATTCATAAACACGATACCCGCTGCGTTTCCGCTGGGAATGGCCCCTAGACGCAATGTTTGCAAGGCAGTCGTTGGTTTTCTGGCGCGCCAGTAAAATCTTCGACATGGCGAGTCTGTGGCGGGATCCCGTGGCGGATTGGATGGATTTTGTTGGCCCAGACCTCCTCTGCAGAAACCACAATCTCAGTGTAGTAAGCGCTGTCCGTGGGAGGAGGTTGGAGGGCGCCGCTTGAGCTCCCATCACGCTACGTACGGAATACGCTGTCTGGTGCGGAATCGCTGAGCATTTTCTTTAAAGATAAAAAAAAAAACAGCATGAGCTTCGTGGAATCGGTTCATCTGAATGATCATTTTGTGCTCTTGATACCGCGGCACCGCCGGCCGGTGCCTGTCACCGGGACGGGGGGGCGGAAAAAGTACCCAGCGAGCGCTTAGTCTAAGTTTGCAAAGATCCAATAATGCAGCTGTCTCTAATCCCTGCAGAATAAAGCCTTGTTATACACCGCTGGATTGGCGAGGGGGCTCACGGGGAGGGTGGGGGGTGTTATGGTGCGAGCAGTGTTGGGGGGGGTGTTCATGGGCGAAGAGGGGGCGGGGGGCTCGTTGACTCATAATTCATAGATGTTTAATGAAGACAGACCCCTCATGTTATTTTGTGCCGTCTAATGAGGCTGATATGCATGGAACAATTTACAGTTGTCGAGGGGAAGGCTACACCACCAGATCTCATCTATTGTGGGTTTGTGGCTGGACACTGGGGGGGTCTAAGGATTAGTCTGTGGCGGGTCCGAGGACAATGGGAGGTGGGCTGAGGGATATAGGGTGGGTGAGGTAGGGTGGTGGTGGGGATAGTTGGGGGGGAGGAAGGGGAGGTGGGTGTGGGGGGGGGGTAGGATAGGGTGGTGGGTCGGGAGGGGGGAGGGTGAGGATTGGTGGGTGGTGAGGGTAGGGTGGTGAAGGGTAGGGTGGGGGTCAGAGATAGGGGGGGTGGGTCAAGGGTCGGAGGGAGGGTGAGGTACGGGTGGGGGGGTCGATAAGGATTCTAGGGTGGGGGCGCAGGATTTATGGGGGGGGCGGAGTCGAGGATATAGGGGGCGGGACCGAGGATAGGGTGGGGGGGGAGGAGGATTGGGGGCAGGGCCCGAGGAAATGGGTGGGGGCCGAGGAGTAGGGTGGTGGGGGTTGAGGGGAGGGTGGTGATGGGAATAGGGTGGGGGCCGAGGGTGAGGGTGGTCGGGTCGGAGGCTGGAGGGGGGGGGTTGAGGATAGTGGTGGATAGGGGACCGAGGATAGGGGATAGAGGTGTAGGAGTAGGGGGGGGAGGAGGGATGGGAGGGGGAGGGGTTGAGGACCGGGGTGGGAGGGTATGGGAGGTGGGAGTAGGGGGGGGTTGGGTGGAGGATGGAGGGTGGGGGGTTGGAGAATGGATAGGGGTGGGAGGGAGGGGGGATGGTGGGGGGCGGGATAGGGGGGAGGGGGCCCGAGGAGGTAGGGGGGCGGGGGGGGTGGGGTGGGCGGGGGTCGAGGACAGGTAGGGCTGGGGGGTCTAGGGGGATAGGGTGGGGGGGCGGGATAGGGTGGTGAGGGGGGTAGGGGGGTGGTGGTTAGGGGTGGTGGGGCCGAGGGGGGGGGGTTGAGGATAGGGGGTGTGGGGAGTTAGGGTGGCGGGCCAGGGGTTTTAGGTGGAGGGCCGGTGACGGGGGTGTGGTTCGGGTGGGAGGGGGGGGGTGGGAGGGGGGGTGGCGGGCCCGGGGGGGGGGTGGTGAGGATAGGGTGGGGGGGGGAGCATAGGGTGGGGAGGGCGGTGGGGTGGGGCCAAGGGGGTGGGGGGGGGGGGGCGGGGGGTGGCGGAGGGGGTGGAGGTGGGGGGGGCGGGATAGGAGTGGGGGGTCGAGGATAGGGTGGTGGGGGGGGAGCGCGGTGGCGGGTCGGGGCGTAGGGTGGCAGGGAGGAACAGGATTAGGGTGGGCAATGGTCGAGGATAGGGTGGCGGGCCCGTTGGAGATTAGGGTGGTGGAAGAGGGATCAGGGGTGGCGGGCAAGGTATAGGCCTGGCGGGTCGAGGATAGGGTGGTGGTCGAGGATAAGGTGGCAGGCTGAGGACTAGGGTCGTGGCGGGGCCGAGGATAGGGATGGACGGGCTCAGGGATACGGGTTTGGCGGGTCGAGGAGTAGGGTTGGCGCGGGTCGAGGAAGGGTGGCCGGGCCTGAGGATTAGGGTGGAGGGCCGTAGGTTATAGGGTGGTGTGAGGATATGGTTGGCGGTGAGAGGGAATAGGGTGGCGGGTCGTGGACGGTAGGTGGCAGGTCCGAGGACTACAACCCCCCCCCCCCCCCATGGGTTGAACGGTCGTCTGAGGATATTAGGGTAATTGGCGGGCCAAGCTACGTGATAGGGGGGTGGTTGAGGAACATTAGGGTAGGCAGAGGGTTCTGAGGATTTAGGTGGCGGGTACGAGCGATAGGGTGGTGGTGAAAGGTTCTTGATGGGCCGGAGGAGTAGAGGTGGTTGTGAGGTTAGGGTGAACGGGACTTCGAGGAAAGGCACTAAGGTGGAGGTTAGGGAAAGGGCCGAGGATTAGGTGGGTGATCGATAGGGTGGACCGGGCCGAGGATAGGGTGTGAGGATAGGGTGGCGGGTCGAGGATAGGGTGGGTGATGGAGCTACGGTGGTTAGATTTTAGGTGTAAATCAAGTTGGCCGAGGATAAGTTTTTGGTGAGGTCAAATAGGGTGCGGGACCGAGGATAAGGCGGTGGCGGGTTGT